CACACACACACACACACACACACACACACACACACACACACACACCATGGACTGAATGTTTCCCCCTATAATTCATACATTGAAGCCCTAACCTTCAATGGAACGATATTTGGAGATGTGCCTTTAGCAGGGAATTAGGTTTAGATGGGCCAGGAGAGTGGGGCCCCTATATTGGGATGACTGTCTTACAAGAAGAGACACCAGAGAGCTTGCTTGCTTTTTCTCACTTTCCTCTAAGTAAGGACAAATGAGAAGGCAGTGTTCTGTAAACCCAAAAGAAAGTCCTCACCAGAACCTGACTATGCAAGTGCCCTGATCTCAGACTTCCAGTCTCCAGAACTGTGGGAAAATAAATGTCTGCTGTATAAGATGTGCAGTCTGTGATATCCTGTTATGGCAGCCTGACCTGACTAAGAGAGTATACACACTAACTCTATAGCTATACTATATAATATATGCACATAAACACATACCTATTATTTAATCTTTAAAAGATTTTTAAAAATCTCTTTTTATTTTAATTTTATTTATTTTCAATTATAGCTGACATTCAATATTATATTAGTTGCAGGTATACAGCATAGTGGTTAGCCATTTATACAGCTTAAGAAGTGATTCCCCCAATAAATCTAGTGAATGTGGCACTACACATAATTATTATATTATTGACTATAGACCTTATGCTGTACTTTTATCCCTGTCACTATTTTGTAACTACCAACTTGCACTTCTTAATCCCTTCATCTTTTTCACCTGTACTCCAACTCTTCTTCCCATAAGTTTGTCTTCTGTATCTATAAGTCTGTTTCTGTTTTGTTTGTTTATTTTGTTCTTTAGATTCCACATATAAGTGAAATCATATGGTATTTCTCTTTCTCTGTCTGATTTATTTCACTTAACATAATACCCTGTAGGTCCATCCATGTTGTCACAAATGGTAAAATTTCATTTTTTAAGGACAAGTCATATTCCACCATATATAGGTACCATATCTTTTTTATCCAGTTGTCTTTTGATGGACCGTTAGATTACTGATTTTTTTTGAAAATATCACTTTAGATATGTGTCAAAAATTAGAAAATATAGAAAGAAACTAAATATCCATTTCTCACCTTCTAGATCATTAGTCGGTTGCATTTTAACCCAAAAACACAATATTGTATCTTCGAAGTTGTTTTTATAATTTTTAATGGATCCATTATTGATCAAGGCATTACTAAAAGTGATATTCTTTACACTAAATTGTCACTTTAACTACATTAACTTTTAAAATAAATATAATGTTAATTTAGTAAAGCTTAAACTAGAATTGGAAGTCTACCTCATCGATAAATTCATATCACATCAATTTTTAGAGACCAAAACAAAACAAAAGCCTTCATGTATTATAAAACCTGAAAGGAATCAATACCTGTATTCTTCTTGTGTGAAGCGTGGGATTTCTCCAGGATGTAAGACAAGAATTTTCACTGTGGCACTGCTGGACATCACAGGCTCACCGTCATCAAAAGCAACAACCACCAACTTAAAGAATAATAAAAATTCACGTTTAAAAGATTACTAACAAGAAGAAAATAAAGTATCTTTGTACTATTTATATTTTAAATCATTGGACTGCCTGGTTCCAAGAGAGGGAGCACTCCACGCAAGGTAGCAGACATTGAACTAGTGTATGGAACATATATTTTCATTTAACCTTCACAATAATCCTGCCAGGTAGATGTTATTATTTTTATTTGTCAGATGAGAAAACTCAAGGAAATTTGAGTTACTAACTCTATGAAAAAAAATTACCCGTAAAACAGGAATATGATACAACATCTCTCCAATGACCCGTAAAACAGGAATATGATACAACATCTCTCCAATGACAAAAAATTACCCATAAAACAGGAATATGATACAACATCTCTCCAATTGTTTTCCACAATTCCACTAGTGCTTACAGTGAAAACATGTGCCTCTATAGGCACTGACATTTCTTTTAAAAGTGTTAAATTCAGTCACATCAATAGCAAAAAGTTAATTGGCTTGCTTGTAAAAGCAAATTAATTTTTCTAGTGAATTAATTGTATACAGAATTATAGGGCAGAAATACTACCCTGGAAGACAAAATTAGAAGTCTATATTTTAACACACTTTGAGACATATGCTCTTAAAAACAACTGCAACATATAAAACTCTGTTTATACTGTATAGTGGAAATTGTTCAAATAATGCAAACTCAAGAAAAGCTTTAGTCTTAAGATGTGACAGCCATATATTATTTATTAATAAAATAACTTTAATAATTTATCACTTTCTTGATAACCTATATTATGTCAAAAAGAATTCTTATGTTTAAGAAATGTTATTTTCAAAATTATGTGTTTCTCTATAATATAATTTTAGAAGCTGCACATTACTAGTGTAAATTAATTCAACCTAGATCATGGAAACATAACCAAGGGTTTTCCTGAGAGCCACGATTTATCTTTGGGTTACAATTTTACAAAGAGAACAATTATGCCAAACAGTGATAAAGTTATATGAGCCATACTACTCATTGATATTCATAAGATTAACTGGTGAAGGTGAATTCCCCAGTGTAGTACGGTCAAAGGTTTTCTTCACAGTGATAATTTTTTTTCTAAGTAACTATAGAAAATGGAAACACTTTAACATTTAATAAAATTGATTATTTATGACAATAATGGTTAGTATTATTTTAAGTTTTCTGGAAGTATAATAAATCACAAGTACATAAAACTTGATCTATCAATTCCGCCTGTGGGTACTTATTTTAAGAAAAAAAAATCAGCAAGTGGCAAACGACAGTTGCACAAGGAATTTCTCAAAGCAGAGATTATTGTAATAAAAAATTAGAAACACGCTAATTATCCAATAACCAGATATTAGACAAAAAACCTGAAATAGTATATTCATATAATAAAACATTGTACTATCATTAAAATTATAGCACTGAGTATTTGTTTGTATGGGTAATATATCATTAAGTTAAAAAAGCTGTAAAAATAATATGATCATATTATTTAAAAACATATTTAAATATCTGTATTTACTTAGAATGTCAGATAGAGATTAAAATGGTCAATTCTAATTATCTCCAAGATTTGAAATATCAAGTGATTTTTTTTCTTGTTACTTAACTACTTTCTAAATGTCTATGCAGTAAAAGTATATTATTTATAACTTAAGAAGATCCAAAAGAAGAAAAAATAAGTACAGTCATCTGTTAAACAACTCTCAATCAAAAATTAAACATCAAGTAGACAATGTAAGGAAAACACTGCACTGACCTTAAAAATTGTTGTAGGTTCTTCATTAAGATTGACTCGAGTTATTACTTTTCCAGAATCTTCTTCTACATCAAAAATACTAGCAGGATAAGGAAACTGGACATCATCTACTCTATACCTCACACGACTTGCAGGTAATCCCTAAAATGAAATTATATATTATTAATTTACTCTCACAAAATAAAAACAAGTGTAGTGATAATGTTAAACTGATTCATAAAATTCATGGCCTTTTTATAAGTGAAAAATCATATTTCAACCTTTCATAATTTCAGGTATGAGGTATAGCAGAATCTATTTCTTTAGTATAACTTATTATGAATCAGTGGAGTGTTTTTACTGCATGTTATTTAAAATTATTTATGTGAAAGAATAAATTTAAGGGTTGCCTTGACTATCTTCTTTTCCACTTCCCTTTAGTTTTATAAATCCCACCTTCTTCCTTCAACATCATGTTTGCTTAATATTTAATCTTCAGAGACAATTATATGTTATTTTCTTTTATTATACTTATTTAACTCTGTGAAACGCAGAGTATGATAAGATGTAGAGGACTGTGGTAAAGTGGGGAAATGGGTGTTGAAGTGAAGGAAACAAAAATTATTTGCCATTTGCTTTGTGCTGTTTATCATACTCAGTTTTTCATAAATAAATTACTCCTCACAACAATCCTTTAGTATAACATTACTAATGATGATGATAGTAAAATAATGATAGCTAATATTTGTTGAATGCTTATTATGTGCAAGAACCATACTAAATGAATGTGTACTCCATCACCCATTTATTAGTTAATGAACTTGAAGCTTAAATGGAGTTAAAGAATGTTGAATTGTCCCAGACATATATCAAGATAAATTGGAATTTCAAATAAAAAAATTATTTTTAAAGAAAGGAAATAATATTGGATAATTTTTAAAAAGAGACTACAATGAGAACAGTCAAAATTTGTTAGACATTCTCACTTATATTAGAGTTTAGATTGATTATATTTTAAATTATATAGGGTTACCCTGGGGTGAACACTATAATATTTTCTATGCTTAAGGCTGGTAAATCTTTTAAGCCAGTCCCAGAGTAAACAATTCAGGCACAGAACTAGTATGCGGTAGAGTTTGACTTCAAACCCAAATAGACACTATGTAACACCAGTAAACTCTTTAGAGAAAAGAACCTCTAATTTGGCATTCTGATGTGGGAGAAGGACATTACCCTCATAGGCTGCTGATTTGTTTGGACTTAATGATACTTTGATACTTTGTATCAAATGATACTTTGTATCATTTGATACTTTGATACTTTGGTGTAAGAAAGGTTCCAAGAACGTTGTTCTTTGTATTGTTGATCTTCTTCATTACTGTCTTTGAATAGAATTTGTTGCTCATGTTGGTTTCTGAATCTCATTTGGGCTATAGGATAAATATGTTAGCCTTCAGGACTTGCATAATTCCCTAATTATTATCTGTAACTCTAGCTTTTTTTATGCATTGTACATCACAGTTGATCACTACCTCCTTGAACACTTCATCTTTTTTTCACTCTTTTGCCTTTCCTCCTTCCTACCTGGCTGCTCTGTCTCAGACTCTTGGAGTGTTCCAAGGCTCTATTAAAGGCACTTCAATCATCTCTACCTCTTCTTAAGCACTCTAGGACCTCTTCTAGTCCCATTCCTTTAAATATCTTTTATTTGTTCTTAACTCAAAATTTTAAATTTCTGGCAAAACTCTGATCTTTTAAACTCCAAAATAATATATACAATGGTTGACAGAGACCTATTTTCAACTCAAAATACCCCAAATGAGAATCCTGATTTCTTCTCTCAAATTTGAATCCCTTCTACTCTAGATCAATGGCCTCACCTTTTACCAAGTTGGTCTCTTTCCAGGCCTCAGGATGATCATTGATCTCTTCTCTTTCTCTCATACTCTGCAACCAAATTTTCATCAAGTCCTGTCAATACCTCAATAAAAGCATTCCCTAATGTATGTCTAGATCACGTCTCATAACCTCCCTCCACCTACAGTATTGCTACTTATCTGCAATTTTGCTTTCTGTTGTTATAATTACCTGCAATCAACAATGGTCTGAAAATATTAAATGAAAAATTCCATAAATAAACAATTCATAAGTTTTAAAGTGCACACCATTCTGAGTTGCAAAATGAAATCTCATGGTATCTAACTTTGTTCTGCCAAAGGCCTTAATCATCCTTTTGTTCAATGTATATGTTCCATGTTGTATATGATGCCTGCTGGTTAGTCTCTTAGTAGCCAGATCAGTTATTAGATCAACTGTCTGGTATTGCAGTACTTATGTTCGAGTAACCCTTATTTTACAAAAATTATAGAACACAATCTTCAGATGGAAGGCACCTGTACGATCACCAAAGGAATAATAACTCAGCAACACTTTGATGAGTTAAAAAATAAAATACAACTTTTGGTTACAATATTCTTCCAAAAGTTTTTTTTTTTTTTTTTTAATGGCTAATAAAGCATGCAATATTGGGAGAAAAAAGGGTGGAGCTGATGACAGAAAAGTTATATGGCCCCTTTTTTCCA